GTCGGCCCACAGCAGGCCGATTGGATTCCAGTCGGCCTACAGCTGGCCGACTGTTGGCCGATTGCGTCCTGTCGGCCCACTGTGGGCCGACTGGAACTAATTGGCTCGCTGTGGGCTAATTGTTTTTGCAAAAAAAGTAGGCATAAAAAATATATGTTTTAAAAAATGTTAATCATGTAATTAAAAAATGTTAAACGTGTATAAAAAAATGTTCCTGATGTATACAAAAAATGTATGATATATATGCAAAAATGTTGACATAAAAAATATGTTTTGAAAAGTGTTAAGCATGTAATTAAAAATTGTTAAATGTGTGTATAAAAAATGTTCCTTATTTATACAAAAAATATAGAATGTGTATGAAAAAAGTTGACACCAAAAAATTATGTTTGAAAAGTTGACATTTTTTCAAATACATGATTCAAAATTGTTAAATGTGTGTATAAAAAATGTTCCTTATCTACAAAAAAATTATAGAATGTGTATGAAAAAAAGTTGACACCCAAAAAATATGTTTGAAAAAAATGTTCTAGTTCTATACAAAAAGAGCAACCAATCATATTTTTTCACAACCTTAATTTATTTTTTGTCACCAACATAATTTTTTGGTGTCAACTTTTTTTCATACACATTCTATTTTTTTGTATAAATAAGGAACATTTTTTATACACACATTTAACAATTTTTAAATACATGATTAACACTTTTTAAAACATACTTTTTATGTCAACATTTTTGCATATATATTGTACATTTTTTGTATACATCAGAAACATTTTTTATACACGTTTAACATTTTTTAATTACATGATTAACATTTTTTTAAACATATATTTTTTATACCTATTTTTTGCAAAAACAATTAGCCCACAGCGGGCCAATTATCTCCAGTCGGCCCACAGTGGGCCGACAGGACCCAATCAGCCCACAGTGGGCCGACAAGGGCCAGTCGGCCAGCTGTAGGCCGACTGTTATCCAATCGGCCTGCTGTGGGCCGACTAGGCCCAGTCGGCCTGCAGCGGTCCGACGGTGTATTATTTTTGAAAAAAATTACCCAGTGTAATATTTATGAAAATTAATAAATAAAATGTATTATTTAAAAAAAATTAGCTGCCCAGGCCGGGATGCAGGACTGTTGTATCTTATGCATCGCTAGGATGCCGGCAGCATAATCAGAATTGCATCTAAATCACCCAATTGACATTAACTGAAGAGGTTTAGGGATCATTACATGTCACGGAGGTCGCCTGGGACAGCGGTGGCGTATGGCTCAGGTCTTCCTATCGCTGCAGCGGCTCTGGGTTGATGGGATTTGGAGGAGCTAGAGATCGTACGTGAACTGGTCAGGCGCACGAGGCCTAAACTTCCCTTCCTTTTTATGTAGCGTTGGCGACAGGGGACCCAAACCTGAGTTGGTTTTGGGCGCCCCTGATCAGGATGCGTTAGTTAGATCGAGGCTTATGCGTGCGTCGGCCTCTTTTTCTTAATGTTAATTTTTATCTTTTTTTCTGTTAAGCTATCAGATCTAGTGGCCCGTTAAGCCGTTAGATCAAACCAACAAGGAGTACAACCAGCCGAGATAGCCGTCGGACGGCTTGCACGCAGCAGCGGCTCGTCGCCGCCATCCAGCTTTTGTCGCAGGTGGCTTGGCAGCAGCACGGCGTCGACGACATAGACGGCGAGGGGGCCCTCTTCGGACACCGTCTTGGTCTCCCTGACCCCAGCGTGGCTCCCGCAACTACCCTCTGTCGCACTCTTTTAGTGCAGAGTCATGCCCACGACCTGAGGCGCCGATGACTTAGCAGGGGCTCTTCGCCATCCTCATCCTCGTCAGCGGCGACATCAGCAGCCATGAACACCGGCTCCTCCGGCGCGAAGGACGTGTGCGCAGGGCCGAAGTCGTTGATGCCTCGAAACTCAACCAGGGGCACTTGGCCCGGCTCGTCGTCGTGAGTGGAGATGTCGGCGATGAGCAGCGGCTCCTCCGCCGCGACTGACGCGCGCCCACGGCCCTGGTCATCGATGCCTCGGAGCTCGAGCAGGGGCAGCCCCGCCTCGTCCTCGCCGCCCGCTGCAGCACCCCCAGAGACGACGAGCAAAAAAGGTGCGGCCATCGCGCCGGCACGACTGCACCTAGAGAGCGCGTGGGAGGGGAGTTGCCGAGTGGCTACTGGTAGTTGCAGTGGGCGAGCTAGGCTGGTAGTTGCAGTGCATTGCAGGGGGTGTGGCAGCGAGGGTGGAGTATTTATACACGGTGAAGGAGGTTGTCAGACATAGGAATGGCGAGGTAGGAACTCCATGATCCGGAAGGGAAGGGGCGAGGAAGCAAGGGCTATACGTGTCGGTCGCCCATAGGGTAGAGAAGCTCTACCCCAAGCGTGTTTTATCTCCCTCCTAACTTCATGCTGTCACCACTATGAGTGAATGAAGTCAACACAAAAACTGTGTCGGTGTGTCTTGGTATAATTAAGGTTACTCTAGGGTTTTGGGTTTAGGGAACGTGCAATGACTAATGCTATTCCTTCCTAAAGTCGATCAACACAATAGTTTCCCACATGACATCACCATCAGGTACACGTGTTTTTCCGGATCCACTCGGAACTTGAGCCGGAGCGCTTAGCCCGCCTCACCGTCGTCCGTGGAGACATCGGCCATGCACCAGCTCCTCCGGCGCGTTGGACGCGTGCCCATGCGTGGTAGCAACAGGCCTAAGGTGTGCGACTGTAGGAAGTTGTGGAAGCATTCCCACTCCTCCTTAGAGGAGCCACGTCTATATACTGACTCAAGGCAGGAACAACTCCTTGTCTTGGCGTACAAGGAGGGTCGATCTCTAGGATATGATCTGTAGCGGGAGAGAGAGATCACGTGGTTACGGGAGAGAAATAGAGATAGACTTGAGTTTGAGATTACAACAGAATATACCTATATGTCTAACATCCTTCCTTAATCTCAACTACCCTAAATTAAGATTGTTCCTGAAAGCTTCAAATGACTTTATTGGCAAGGGTTCAGTGAAGCCATCTGCAACTTGATCTTTGAAAGGAATGAAGTGTATCTTCAACTTCTTGTCAGCAACCCTTTCTCGTATAAAATGAAAGTGAGGCAAGTCCTGCGTGGGTGATGGCCATGGTGGGATAGACAATGTTGCTTCTTCGTGGACCCTTCGTGGGTGGAGCCCTTCGTGGACTCGCGCAACCATTACCCTTCATGGGTTGAAGTCTCCACCAACGTGGATGTATGATAGCACCACCTATCGAAACCACGCCAAAAATCTCCGAGTCTCCAATTGCGTTTGCACACTTCAATCCTATCCCTTTGCTTTCTTGCAAATTGCATGCTTTACTTTCCGCTGCTCATATACTCTTGCCATGTTTGCTTGAAATATATTGTGAATGCTTAAACTTGTGCTAAAACTCCACCTCAACTTGAAGAACTTAAAAGCTGTCACTTTTGCTTGTTGAGTGTCTAACCACCCCCCCCCCTTCTAGACACCTCTTCTCAATCCTTTCAGCCACGGCGCGGGCGTCTACTGGAGTGGGCTTGACAGCTGATGTGTGCGGCTCGTGGCGCTCCTGATTGTGGCCGAGAGGAAGATCTGCGAGCTCGCAGCCACGGGGAGGTTGGTTTGTTGGGTTGTTCGCTCCAGCTTATGCGGGTCTTAGGTGGACCACAACAGCTCGACTACGCCGGCGATGTGCTGCGGCAGTGGCAGAGTAGTCAACTTGGACGGTGTGGCCCCAATCCGGAGGGCAGGGATGGAGTTGCGCGACAATTCAAAAGAAATTCCAGCCCGTATTAGGTCGGTGCTGGCGGCGATGGCGCCCGTGGGTGTCGTTTTCCTCCTTGGAGGAATCGCCAAGGTATGCCGGCATCTCCCTCACTCGCCCATGGGATTGGCAGATGTCTTCGGGTGAAAGCCTAGGTTCGGAGTTGAACCGGCGTGATGGCGGCGTCCTCATCGTCGCTACTCTGTTGGGAGCATCGCGCTTGAAGGCCGAGTCTTGAGGTTTCTTGTTGCGCTACTTTCGGTGCTCGCTGTTGTCCAAGGTGAGCTTTAGAGGCGCAATGTACATCACAGCCGGCGAGTCCAAGACGGTGGCTTTAGTGTATCGACCAAGTCCCGCCATCTACTTGCCACCTCCTTTTTGGCATCAAGGGTGGATGGTGCGTCCACAAGGAAGTATAGTTGGAGTTGGCTGTCTTCGGAGGTGTCTAGCGCTGGTCGAGGCGCGGCAATGTTGCTTGGTTTTGGTCAGAGTCTTTTTGCTTTGTAGTTGTGTTGTTGGTGGTGGTTGTTTTCGGGCTAGCACCGGTGTGAAGTTTGTGCTACATTTGTTGTCCGCAACAAGTTGTAGTCGACTTGTAATTGAAGTTCTGTCTTTTATAAAAATATGATACGCATTCGCGTACTCTCGAAAAAAATATGAAGAACTTTTCAGATAGTACATTCAAATTTATCCTCCCACACAGCATACAGAACAACTCTTCAGTACAGTAGATCGTAGTTTTAATCTCTAGTTTACAACTATGGTTTTCCCTTAGCAGTTGATGGTAGTTGCATTGTCTTGTGCGTAGAGGTCTGTGGCCTGATGGGAGTTACCTGGGATCATATACTGTATTGTATATGGCACATGCGGAAAATAAACAAAAAATGATCGGATGGCCGAGTTGGTCTAAGGCGCCAGATTAAGGCTCTGGTCCGAAAGGGCGTGGGTTCAAATCCCACTCCGGTCAAAAGTTATTCCTTTTTTTTCTGAAAAACATAGAAAAATAAGAGACAATTTTTTTCCTTTCAAAATCAAGAGTGCATCGATGCGCATCAGAGACATGCATTTACCAGCTACGAAGTCAAATTGCCACGATTTACTTCTGCTTCATACAAGGATCAAACCGCTCACACTACCGTCAAACCAAAGAATGGTTTAGATCGACTAAAAAAGGTAGAAAAAGGTTCTGATAGCACATACCCACACACTACAGCAGAAAAGCATTTCCTATCTTCAAGACCGGGTGGCCATGCCGTTCTCAGTCTTGAACAAAGATGCATAACGAAACAGAAGATGGGGGAAATGAAGCAAGAAGAGACCGTCGGCGTCGGCGACAAAGGAAGGAGTTAGGCTTGAGCCTGCGGAGGCGCCTGGGCATGGTGCAACCGGGACCAGAGGACCCAGAGCAGCCCGACCGCCGACGCCGCAGCGAGAGCCCCGCCGGCACATGCCGTCCCGTCGGCGGCGAGCTGGTACGACGCGCACACGGGCGTGGCGACGAGGTCCACGATTAGCGCGGAGGACGCCGCTCCGACGGCGACAAACGCGATCAGCCACTGGAGCACGATCAGGACGACCAGGAGTGTGACATCGGCCGGCGGGGGCGGCTGCTGCTGCTGCTGCTCGTACTTCAGCCAGCACGACTCGACCAGCAGCAGCAACGCACCAACTGGGACGGCCAGCAGCAGCAGCAGCATGCATAACCTCCTGAAAATTTCGAATAGTTTGTCATGCATTTGGTATGACGAGAGCCAGCCGTTGATCCATCAGCGAAACTACATACTAGAAAGATTATACGGTGGAAATGTGCTTAACTGGTGTGGGTCCTCGAGCGTGAACTGGATCACCCCGGGGACGCACTCCTCCGCGAGGACGGCCAAGACAAGCGCCGTGACGTCGAGGGCGAGGCTGCCGCCGCCGCAGACGACGATGAACCACCCTGCTGCAGCCATATGAACGAACCTAGCTGGAAGCGAGTGTGAGTCTGTGAGATGGCGAACGCGACACTTTCCACCCTTGCTTGCAGGCTTGGTTACAAGTTGTTGGCAAACACATGGATCGCTTGGCTGTCGAGCCCTCTTGAAGCCCCGGGTGCTGAGGTGTTTCCTTTCTTGGCTCCTGGGTGTTTTCAAGCCATGCACCTCTGCTCACCTTGATCCGGAATACATGACAACGTACATGATGGTTAGTGGGCTGGACTAGCCGGTAGAACAAATCTAGCTATGACCACTGCCACACTTATTGTCACCTTTCGCTCTTTTCTTTACCTTGCACACTATACATCTATACTGAACGTTTGTGAGCTGCACACGGTGTAATTGTGTGAACATATGGAAGTCAATGTCAGTTACCTTGTTCAGTCGTTTTGGATCATTGATATTTCTGAAGCACGGCACTCCGCAGTTTCCTTTACCCCGGCCCAAAGCAAAGCCGTGGAGGTCGATTCATCCATTTTTACCTTTGTGCAACCAGCGTCCCATGCGAGCAACAAGATTTTTTTCAGAAAAGTTTGACTTCATTATTTCATTTTTCTCTAGAAACTCCGCACAATGATCAAGTGACAACTTTCAGATTTCCTCGGTGAAGCGATCCACCACTAGGCATGGACACCAAGGATCTACGGTAGCGAATGAACTTCTGTTAGCTCGACCTATGATAAAATGGTGACCAGATGTTTCAGAATTAGAAGAGAGCATCGAACATATAATAAACACGGGGAACTAGAGCAAAGTCTACCCCCTTGATAGCCGCCGACGAGTCCGTGGATTTGCCTCCTCACTGCATGTCACCCTGGTGGCTAGTGGCGACTTTGTGCCTCGGCTCTGGCTAGTAGATAGGTTATGATTTAGTCCTCACAGGAGCGGCGTTCGGATGGATGGTGATGCTTAATATTCAAGGTTGATCTTTTAGGCTCTGATCCTCCTCGAGTTCATTCGTCGGGGATGGATTAGACAGAGATCCGGTGTAAATTTACACCGGCTCCTAAGGGCGACGAGGTTATGGTTTCTCACCGTGTGTATGAGATGGACATAATTTGTATCAAATTCTTTGATCGATGCAAGAGGGTTCAACGATGACCGTTACAGTCCCTAGACGTTGGTCTAAGGGGCACGTGCACGAAGACTGCTCGCCTGTCATTCAGAAGGTCATACCGGCGAGGCCGCCGCGTCACCATATCACTATTCCAGTGCCGATCTCGCTGCCTTCTTATGTTGACACCTACCTTAGTCGCGCATGCGAGTCTTCCCTTGCGTGGACACCTTCTCATGCCACCAAGTCGGACCTCGCTTGCACCCAGATGACGAGGAAACAAGCACCGCCGGCGCCAGATCTAGAAACTATGGGGCGGGGGGAGGGTAGACAGAATATCATAAGTAGGTGGAAGGAGGCCGAAATTTTGTATTGGGTGGGTAGGAAATTGGGTCAACGACGCCTCATATTTGTTGTGTCCTTATATGATACTTGTTGTTGAGTATATGTGTTATGTGCATATTGTATATTGGGCCCGCCTCCTAGTTCTTTGTATAGTTGAGGTCCATGGCCCACCTTTGTACATTATATATACTTGCCATCGTGCAATTATCACATCTTACATGGTATCAGTTTTTAGGTTTTTATTCTCGTCTTCCGCTGCCACCGCCGCCGCCGCGCGCTCCTCCCGCGCCGCCGCCGCCGCCACCGCCCCGCCGCCGCTCGCGCGCTCCTTCCGCGTCGGTCGCCGCCACCATCCCCCTGCCGCCGCGCCTCCCCGTCCTCCACGCGCCACCGCACCATCTCCGCTCACCCCAAGCCGGTCTCCACCCGCGACCCCTACCCACGCTACCCCACGTCGCCAGCGTCACTTGCTACCCCGATCCACGCTGCATCGAGCCGATCGCCCGCTGTCGCCACCTGCCACTGAGTCGATCACCCGCTGAGCAAATCGCCTCGCCCGCTGTCGCCACCCGCCTCGTTTCCTGATGTCGCCACCCGCCTCGTTGCGCGCTGCTGCCAACCTAGCCAGCCCCGCGCCGCGTCAACTCCATCCTCACGCCGCGTCCACGCCTGCC